ATCGCTTCTCGATGGATGCACCGGCATCCAGGCCCTCTCGATACGTCCGTGCGAGACCAACTGGTCACTCGCATTCCCGGAGCAGCACAGGAGAGCCATCTACAGAGCGATACAGCGGCCCACTCTTGTCTCTCTGAGCCTGGCGTGGGCCCATTTCGGCCACAGCGACATCACGGAGTTCGGCGGCCTCACGCTGCCGCCCAGCCTCAGGAAAATCACGCTCTACTGTGTCTCGGTCGCGCACGAAAGCCATTTCGCCACACAGCCTGCACATCCTGACGGAGGCGCGCCCGGCATTGAGGAACTACGGACGGACGATATCTCTGTGCCCTTCGCGCGGCTGATGTTCCGCCCACCGCATCCATACCCCTATAGAAATCTGCGCACCCTCAGCTTCAATACCTACGGTCGCGAGACAAGCTCGCAGACCGCCAATCCATCTGCAGTTCTGCTACACGCCAATCCTCATCTGGAATACCTGCTCCTCGGCACCGGTGAGTGCTGCGACGAAGTTCTCGCCGACGAGAACATCTCGCTGACAATGCGCTGGCACAGAGGCTCACAACATACCAACGCACGATTTGTCGAAGAATACGGCCCTTAAGACCCTGGTGATAAGTTTCTACGTCTCGGGCATGGTATTCTCCGTTGTGAACATCGCTGCCATGCTCAACACGTTCTCTCGCTCAAACATCCTAGAGCGAGTGTTCGTGAGTGGTATCTCCAACAACACGATGATAGAGGCGGAAGCCGAGCACTGGCAGGCCCTGGACGTTGTGCTGGCTTCCAAGATACATTTTCCAGCCCTCCTCGGCGTCGAGCTTGATTTCTGCAAGGGTGGTGGACCGTCGCCCGTCTGACGGACATGATGTCCCAGAAAATATGAGGTGTACGCCAAAGATTGAAAGATTGATGCGCGGAACGCTTGAGCGGGGCGTGCTCGACATACGGGAGGAATTTGTTGGTGAGTTTCGCGCCTGCTCACTCGAGGTACAGCGGTTCTGAACATCAAGCTAGATTGAGGCGGTGTCAATATCTGGATGCAGGACGATGAGCTTGGCTGTCGATGGCTTCCCAGAGCTTGCGACTGCTCGTTTCGGATGTATCATACGTCGTCCACAACGTCTGTACTCCGTCGACACGCGCTGTTCGATGCTGCTTACTGCTTCGCGCCAGATCACCCTGCAAGAAGGGAAATACCACAGATGATATGCCATTGACAGATAAACCAGCTAAAGCTACAATTTCGAGGCCAGGGAAGGCCAAGGAATTAGTGATGAGTAAGGTAAGTAACCGAGACGTGTAAGTGTAGACTGTAAAGTGAATGCGAACTGGAAATTGGTTGTTGGGGACCGGCGAACGGTAACTGTGAACTAAGTAGAGGCTGATAGTAAGGGTATAAAGAATCCAGATGTTCGTGAAAGACGAAGATGCAGAATGCGATTTTAGCGTTCTAGGAGGACGCGCCAGATGCCAGCGTCAGCGGCGCGTCCTTCTCCGATGTCGCTGTGAGATGGGAAGCTCGCTGCTAGATGGCAAGATCACTGCGTAGCAGCGAGGTTCAGCGCCGCGAGGACGACCTCCCAGCAGAGGTCGATTGTGTCCCAGAGTTGCGCGTCGTACATGCCCAGGGAGACCATATCCTGCCACGCCTCCTTCACATGCGCCGCGTCTGCGGTCAACCGGCCGAGGTTGCCGCCCTCCGCCTGCAGCAGCTGCACCGCGAGATTGTGCTTCGCCTGTCCGGAGCCCAGCGCGGAGAGCACGCCCTGGTGGGTTGCGAATGCCCGTACTGCGGCGGCAGGGAAGGCGGGGAAGAGCGCCTGGACGACGGACTCGGTGCGGTGGTTGTACATGTACGCGTGCAGGATCGGGAAGGCGGCGGGCGAGGGGACGGACATGCGGACGACGCGGAGGGGCAGCGCATTCCCGCCGGGCTGTGGCTGGGCGTCGTCGAGCGGCTCGACCAAAGCGCAGTGCGCGGCGAGGACGAGGGCGTGCGTGGGGACGAGCTTGGCATGCACATCGCCCGAAGCCTTGCTGGCGCAGACAGCAAGGAGATGCGTGGGGTACGAGACGCTCGGACTTGCGCGGCAGCCGACGTTGAGGTGCTTGGGAAGATGGTTCGCGGGCATGGTGGACGGGACATTGAGCGTGCTGATACCGCCGATCATCCTTTGCGAAGGTTAGCATCATGCGTGGAGTACTCGAGCGATAAGACGCACTCTCTGGCCCTTGGGTAGATCCCGCGCCTCACATACTCCAGCGGGACTCCGGCGAGGTCTGGCGCGACGGCGGCGATGTTACGCGCGGGGATGTCGTAGAATTGCGGGCGCTGAAGCGTGCGAGGGAGACTGACGCCATGCGATCCGTGCGCGGACGAGTGATGCGAAGAGTGGTGCGAGTGTTGGTGGCCGTGACCGTGCGCGGCGAATGTAGAAGGGTGCGATGCGACTTGGAACATTATGCTGGGGTATGCGAGCCGGGGAATGCGAGGCGGGTATGTAGATGCGAAGTGGGCGCTGCCGGAGGGAAAGTGTTGTAAAGCTCCCCGCATAGCCGCGCGTATTTATATGCAAGCGCGCGGCAAGGCATGTCGGACATGTGGCCGAGAAAGGCAGGAGGTACAAAGGACTCGTCCAAAAAGGAAAGACCTTTGTACACCTTCCTGGGTAGCGCGTTGATGCGGCGGCTATCGGTTAAGGCGTGTCTGTTTCGCGTCTCCAGGGCTCCTGATCTGCGGGAGGAGCGTCGCGAAGGACGTCCTTGAAGGCCTTCCCTCGCCAGCCGGAGGACTTCAGTATCGTCGCCCTTGGTGTCCCGCCTGCCGGCTGCGTCCTGACTCGCGATCGTCGGTCCCTTGGCAGTGCGCCCGACAAGCGGCGGTGACTCGTATGTCGCTCGCGCACAGGATGTCATGCTGACGGGTGGGCGGGCGGCGGGCGATGACTTGCACTGACCGCGCCGTGCGCTATCGATTGGTCGGGAGGAACAGCCCGAACTGACCCAAAGTGGATAGCGCCTCCGAGCTCCGGCCACGATGCAACCCATGTGCGCGACCCATGTGTCGCCCACATCAACTTCTTCCACGTTCCTCGCTCCCGTGTCCTTCTTGCCGGTATGCTCCTTTGTGCACTTATGGGGATAGCGTCCATGAGGGGGCCGATAACGGTGTTCGACCCACAGAACAGCACAGCTTGACAGAATCCATCGAGTGTGGTTGGTGGCGCCGGCTCCGCTCGAGCTCCTCATCGGTGCCTTGTTCTACAGCAGCGGTTGTATTTTCAAGGTCATCCGGCAGTCTTCATGTTTTGGTATCCGGAAAGGTCTATTTACTGGAAGCTTGAGGGAGGAGAAGTCAGATGAGGCTGGCTTCGGCGGAGGGATGCGCACCCTGCGGTGGACTGCACGAATTTCCCAACTTATTATCTGCGGGAAGGGTATCAGCGCCGTGGCTCTTGTACGTGTACACGAGGCGGCAACATGGAACAGTGTGTTGTGCGAAGATCATCATCATGCGTTAATGCGATCATTGCGATGTGGACTTTGCGGCCGCCTGAGAGCCCGAGCTCAAGGTCATTGTTCCGTATATGGTAAGCTCACACAGTTGAACGTAACTCTCAAGCTGCTATCGCCGTTACGTCAGCTTTCATCTGCAATCCTGGAAGCTTTCTGGACGAGTTCATCGCTGTGCATGCCAGCGAGGCGACAGGCTAGGAAAGGCATTGCGATCGACGTCGTGGAATGACTCATGAGGCAAGAGATGAACAGTGACGTGACGGTCAATTATCGTGACCTGGTGTCGGTCCGGATTGCCACGTTGCTCAATTCGAACCATCATGTCTACAACTGTTTTCCTGGACATATGCTCGGGCGACGAAAACGTCCATCAGACTCAAGCACAGGAATACGATGCCACCGCGTCGCTTCTCCTGAAGAAGGCTGACGCGTACGGCTTGCCGCTCACACCGAAAGAGCTTTCCGAAGAACAGCAGGAGATTCTACAAGACCTCGATGTATCTCGGTCGCCTCTGTCCTACTGTCTCGTTCTTGATAGCCTCCTTAGCGCTCACTCAATATGCGCTTCACGCCCCCCTCGCCTCTCCTCACGGGCAAACTGATCATCGACCTCGATCCATCGCCCGCCCTCGCGAAGACGCGAACGAACTTCCTCGCACTCTGCACCGGGGAGAAGGGTGCGTGCAAGAACGCGCCTAACAAGAGACTTCACTACAAAGGCTGTTCCATCCACCGCGTCGCCAAGTCCTTCGTCTTCCAGGGCGGGGATGTGACGCGGGGGGACGGGAGCGGCGGGGAGGTACGCAGTCTGTCATCGTGCGCACTGAAGCTCGAGTTTATCCTCGGACAGTCAATATACGGAGGAAAATTCGCGGACGAGAAGCAGGGGCTGAAGAACAAGGCGGTGAAGGGCAGCGTGGCGATGGCAAACTCGGGCAAGAACAGCAATTCATCGCAATTCTTCGTTGTGATGACCGATGACGCGGCCAAAATGGCGAAGCTCTCCGGAAAGTACGTGGTTTTGGGGACGGTGAAATTTGACGAGGAGGGGCTGGCGCAAAGGACGCTTGATCGTATAGACGCGCTCGCTGTTGGTGACGGCCGACCTTCTAGTCCGATCTGGATCGGCGAGTGCGGTGTATTGTAACGTCCAACCAATGTTGATGTATATGACGTTCGTTTATTCTTCTAGTCGCCTGAAGGGCAGATGCGATGCGAGATGCATCCTTCCGGTACGTCGTTGGCTTAGCTCTTGTCTGTCAAATGTCAGGCGAAGGTTTGTGGCGAGGATTTTTTTCTTTCCCTTATCACGCGCTATACCGCCACGGTACTAATTTGCAGTCCTTTGAGGACGTTTTATAAGAGGGGGCAGGTTCCTTACATTTTGGTAGGCGCTACGCATGAGTGCGTCAGCAAACGTAAGACGGATACAGATCGCACGTTTTTTACATCTGAGCATAAAGACTGCAGCTCACTTTTATGGCCGCCTGGCGTAATGGCAACGCGTCTGACTACGAAGCGCTGCTCGCAATCAGGAGATTGCAGGTTCGACCCCTGCGGTGGTCATGATATGATCATGAACGTGTTTTTGTACGGCCTTTTTGATAAGTACGTGCCGTGACCATTTATGTTTCCGGAATGAGCTTCTCCATTGTCGTATACGTCGCCAGGCCTTTCTGACTACAAGTGTATATGTGGAGAACGCTCAAGCTCAACGGCGGGATCCGTCATGCGATCTTCAGACTCGCAGGACGCGCGAAGGGTGTGTTTAGTTTCAGCACGACTAATTTGTGCGGCTTCGCTACTACTTCGCTACTCATTGTCACTGTTATTTCATCAATTCCACTGCCATTATGTACCAGCAATGTCAGGCCCCCATCTTCGCATTCATTCCCTGCAGCGCACTGAAGACAATGCGCGCTGCGCGCTCCACAGCTTCGCTGTCCTCGGGGTCGACGCGCTTAAGGACGCTGACGAGCTTGTCTGGGTGCCAGCGCAGAAGACCGCGACGGACGCGGTCGCGGAGGGCATGATCGCTCGCCACTTTGTCGGTGGACGTGGGGGCCGCGTACTCAGCCGCCGAGCGCATGAACTGCTCGACTGCGGCCTCCGTAACGTCCTCGGAGCGCACCGCATGACCTCCCCAGCCGGCGGGCGTGCCCTGGGGCCGAATAGTCCAGGCATCGTCGGACGGGACTCTCCATGCTTCATATCGCCCTCGCCGTCGTCCTCGTCCTCAGTCTCCACAGCATGTACAGGCCAGGGCATGTCCGCGAACCGCACGGTCCCCACGGCATGCGTCCGACCGCGCCCCACTGCGCCTCGTACGCCGCCCAGCGCTGTTTCTTCACCCTCTCGCGTTCCTCCTGGCGTAGTCGCTTGAGAGCAGCCTGACGCACGGCGGCAGTACGCGCGGAATCGCGCTTTCCCTGCGCATCGCGGAGGACACCGCCAGCAAGAACCCACGCTTCTTCGCCTCGTACCGCTTCGGCAGCCTCGCGCTCGCGTAGAGCGGCAACCTGAGGCGAAGGCGGATGTGACTTGGGCTGAGCTGCATGTGGAGGCAAGGGTTGAGAAGAATGCCCAGCGCGAGGACGCGAAAAGCCGCCTGTGGCAGGAGATTGTCGTGGAAGACCGCGTGTTGGACGCTCTGGTGAAGGTGGCGACCTGTCAGGCTTTATGTCCTGGGGTTTCTTCTCTTCTAGTTTGTCTCCATCAAGGGATGGAAGCGCGTCTGCAAGAGAAGCGAGGTAGCCGAGTCCGGCGCGTGGCGCGCGGTGCGGTAGGTATGGTTTGGGACGCGGGGCGAACATCGATTCCTGTGCGGGAGGAGATCCAAAGCGCGCGGTCTTTGTAGGGGTGTCGAGGATTGTATTCCCTCGATTCTGTCCGGACGCGCGCGAAGGGGATGCGTTGAAGCCATATGAGGGTGAAGTATCAAAGCCGTAAGGCGACGTGTCAAAGGCGCCCGGCAGTCCGCGCGGTCGAGATGGTGTTTGCATAGATGGTCGACGTATGTGTTCAGTTCAGTGGAAAGTTGATGTATGATGAGGCTCTGAGGAAAGAATGCTCTCGCGTGGTGGCGGTTCGAAGTTGAACTTCGCGACTGCCACGAGGCCATGTGATCGTTGTTGATGACGATGGCAAGCAAGGCCAAATACGTGTGCATTGTTCTTCCTAGCCCCATCGTGCGGTGTGACTACGGCGTGAGCAATGGGCTGTTTCCAACTTCCATCTTCAGCATGTTCATCTTTTCTATCTTCTAGTTTCTCATGCCTTCAGCTCTGCCTCATAGGGACCAGTGTTGAGAGCTACCAGTCCACTGCAGGGTCTCACGTCGGGTATGCCTACACACAGCCCGGGTAGCTTTGGGCTAGTCCACCTCGGTGATCCCGAACGACTATGACGCAAATCACGGATGGGAGAGACGCTGGGTGGATACTAATAGGGGGAGAAACAGCGGACGGCTGAGTACCGGAACAGCGAGTCCCTTCCGCGAGACACAGTGACGTCACCACGAGAAATGAAGACCTCTCGCGCACGGCTTGCTCTCGTTTCACAATATGGAGCCGATCTTCTATCTCAACGATGAACCAAGACTGTTTCTCTTCTACTATACCACATCCGGTTTATAAGGCGTAGCATGGTGAGTGCATATCCCATCACCTTTCATATCGTCGCCGACCTCGCCATCACTCTCGCCACCTCACCATTCACCATGCATGTCTCAATCGACAAATTTGACGAGACCGTCCTCGGCGCGGACTACACATACGATCCAATTGACCACAGCCGCTTCACATGGAGCCCCGCGGATGACTGCATCGGCCAGGGCGCTTACGGGGAAGTCTTCCGCGCGATCGACACCCACAACGACAATCGCCGCATCGCTCTCAAAGCGCAGAAATTAGGGCCGCCCAGATCCGGACTGCGCGCCATGCAAAGACAGGAAGCCCTCATCCACGCCGCCATCTCCGATCATTCAAATATCGTGACCTTGTACGGCGCCTTCGCCGGCGCTGACTCGCACCTCTTCCTCGCGATGGAACTCGTCGACGGCACCGACCTCTTCGACGCCGCCAAATCCGGCATGTTCAAGGGGAACCCCGAAAACATCCGCGAAGGATTCCTCCAAATGATTAGCGCTCTGCGCGCCATGCACGCCAAGGGCTTCTACCACCGCGACATCAAGCCCGAGAACATCGCCGTTAACGCAGACGGCTGCTCGTGGCTGCTCTGCGATTTTGGGCTGGCCAGCGCGAACCCGACCTCGAGCTGGAGCGGTTGGGGCTCGGATGCGTACCGCGCGCCCGAGTGCTACGGCGGCGAGTACCGCAACGCGCCCGCGGACGTCTGGGCGCTTGGCGTCGCCCTCTTTTGCGTGGTGACGCAGTGCACGCCGTGGCACGAGGCGATACCCGAGGACGAATTCTTCAGCGCCTTCCTCAGCGATGGCCCGCGGTACCTCTTGCGCGCGGCGAATATAACGCCCGAGTTCTGTCGCCTGATTCTGCGGTTTCTCAAGATTGATCCGGAGGAGCGGATTACGCTGGAGGAGGCGGAGGAGGAGCTGCGAGCGCTGGAGATGTTCACCACGGACGAGGAGCTAGACATCGACAGTTATCTGCAGTACTGGCTTCCTGCGGAGCCCGACTCATCGACGGGCAAGACGCCGTCGCTGGCAGCATCGACAGTGAGCTCGCTGTCCAGCACGAGTTCACTCGACATATCGACGCCGTCTGTGCAGCAGCAGCAGCCCTCATCGAAGCACTTCTTGACGGCGGAAGCTCATCATCTGGGTGATGAGCGGTGGTGATTGTATAGCGCGCTGACTGGGGTCACATAAATTATACTGATAGACAGGGACTCCCTGGGAGGCTAGGACTTTGGGATTCGAATATATTGCAATGACCACTCTATTTACTCGTTTTATTTCTACTCCACTGTCAGTAATTCATAGTTATTCGCATCTTTATGTCTAGGATAGGCGAAGACGCATTGTACATTATTCGTAAATAATTATGCATACTTACTGGGTCCTTCCACCTTCATAACGATACTCGTACTGAGTGGTATTGCGTATCATGGTCACCGCTTCTTCAGCGCGTGGCCTAAATACGCATTTGAAGTGCTTCGGTGACCTTTACATCAAGCGATAGTCAGCTGGTTATAGCTTCGAGAGATGATGAGGCACACGTACAGAATTATGCCCTCCTGCCTATAATGGTGTCGCGACCCAGTTATCGACTCGTACGCGTCATTTGCTCTCTCAATGTTAAACACGCGCAGGATAGATGCAATGGTGATCCAGGTAGAGGCGTACCCCAAATGGCGCCCGGGGCAAACACGGCGTCCGAACTGAACGGTGAGATTAGCAAACGTCATCGAGTATGCCGACGACCCCACGCCAAAATTCACTCACCCCGAAGACTATCTTGCTGGGGTCGCGCACGGCGGGATCGAGCTTGCCCTCAACAGTCAAAAAGCGCTCTGGTTTAAACGTATAGGAGTCGGGGTAAACGGTCTGTTGGCAGTCAGATGCGCGCAACACTTAGATATTGGAGGTGTAGATCAACCTCATCGTGCACCATCGACCTGTTAGTGTGTTAGCAGGAACGATGGCGGTAGGCAATGAAGACCACTGCGGCCAATGGTGACACGCGTGAACGTACCATATGTTCGCAAACACAAGTGAGTTTCTCGGGATGGTGTAGCCTTCATAATCATCGGGCTCCGTGCCGGTGTAGAAGTGCGGGACACCCTGCGCAAGTTCCTCGTTAACTATAGTCATACGGCGAAAGTAGAAGAGACTGCAGAAGTGTTCACTCACCATCGGCGCTACCGGCACCCAGCGCAGGGTCTCGCGTACGACGGCCGTGACGAATGGCAGTCGGTCCTCGTGTGTAAAATCAGGCAGTTGACCAGGCGCTAGCACGGCATCCAGCTCCTCCTGCGCGCGCTCTTGTATAGCGGGGTTGTTAAGCACGGCGATAGTGAAATTCAGGACCGTAACGACAGTCTATGACAAAAGTCAGAGGTGAGTTCACCTGGACTCTCGCACCAGGACGCACTGTGTCTGCCCCGGCAAGGTACATGGTTGCTGCTGCGTCTCGAATTACGCTGTCATTGACGCCTTTCGCAAGTGCTATGGAGGTAAACGATGGTGTTAATGAAGAATTTGCGGCCTAGCGCGATTGAGGTTTGGATGAGCACTATCTCACTCGGTCAGCAGAGATCGCATACCATGCGTCGCTTGACGTCGTAGAATGGCCGATTCACTGCCTCCTGGGACAGGTCGCTCCATTCACGCGCCTGGCGTTTGAAGCCTGCGCCTATAGTATCGAAATGAACGACTGATTGATCAAGCAGAGGCTCGCCCGAACTCACCTAGCATCCACATCGGCAAGTACTTCAGCGCCGGAATACTGTTCACGAGAAATGCGGGCGTCGCGACGCTGGTAGCGATGCGTACGGCCGTTCTCGCCTCCCTGATGTGCGGGTCGTCGTTCGCTTTGATGTCAACCCCGTATGTGGCGCGAAGTATGACCATGCCGGCCATACTAATG